AAATCCAACATTTGGGAAATTTTTCCTCTAGATAGTCCATAACACTTAAACCTCCCGTGTGGAAGTGCCCCATCTTACTGGAAGTAAACATTCGGTTGTTGGTGTTCAATATTTGGTATTGCATAACACTGCAACATGTTGCGGTATATAGCACTAGTCACTGTAGCTTGGTGAAGGTTTCCTAACTCTCCATCTATAGTCAAGGTTGACATACACTTACAGCTACCTTTTTTACTATTATTTCTCTTTAAAATGCACTCAATAATTTATAACCACCCTGTACATTAAACAGAGGCCATAGCAAGATATGAAAATTTTGGCCCAATTCACTATGCATGAGTTTTGAGGTTACATACAAAAAGTGTAATTTTTGAATTTTTCAAAGTATTGCTGTTTCTTTGCATCAAATCACAAAATAAAAAAAAATATCATTACTGCAAAAGATAGGCATTCAAAATGGTGTATACTAGAAAATTTTTTGGAGCAAAATTCAAATGGAAAAAGTTTTTAAAAAATGATTTTGCTGGTTTATAGTTTAGAACAGGGCAATAAATAATTCCAAAAATTTTTTGGAAACTTTATATTACACTACAAAAAACTTCTAACTTTATTTTTCAAATGAAAACAGGAAAAAAAAATCTGAAACTTGATTAATACAACCCTCCTTTGTCATTTCATTATATTCTCTTCTCTTTCTTCTATTCTGCACCATAGAGAACAATTCCACTTAATTTCAAATGGACCACTGCATTTGCTTGTGACAATGCAACTTGTTACTCATTGCACTGTTGCATATAAATGCATGTCAAAAATGTAAAAATTAATTTGATAATGCAAATTGCAAAGTGTAAAATTTTTGTTCATTTCATAAGTGTTGTTCAGGCATTGTGACAAATGTATTTACTTGATAAAATTGAGAATTTTTTAAAACTATAAAGCTAGTAAAATTTTTGAGTCCATGCATTTTCTTATATAAGAAAAAACATTCTTGGTTAAAAACTCAGCAAAAAATTTTGACACTTTTTGTCATATTTCTGTAATTTTTGTATACGATTTTTAACTGCAAATTTTGTCATTTATGATCATTCTTATCGAGTTCCAGATTTTTATTTTTTCTTCTATGTTGAATCTAGAAAATGAAGTCTGCCATTTTTTTGTAGTGTAATAAATATATGGTGGTATAAAATTTCCTAATAATTTTTGAAATTGTTGCTCTGTTCTAACCAGCAAAATAATTTATTTCAATTTGAATATTGCACCAAAATTTTTCTGGTATACAACATCATGTGTACCTTTTTTTTTCTAGAAATGTCATATTTTTTATTTTGCAGTTTAATGCAAAGAAACAGTGATAGTTTGAAAAATGTAAAAAATCACATTTTTGTATGTAACCACAAAACTCATGAAAATATTGGACCAATATTGGGTAGTAATTATTTGCTGATACCTAGTTTTGGGCCAATTTCTAATCCTGCTGTGGCCTTTATTAGATAAAAGTAATAATAATTTAATATGTTTTACGTCTTGTGCAATGAGAAAATAATTAATTATTCTCATCTATTTTTCTTACTACTGAAATGTTATTTATGAAAAAATATCAGCTTTATTACTTATAAAAGTCTAAATGTATGATTTTGGATTGAATTGAATTTTACTGCTGTAACTATTATAGGTATATTAGAGGTGTTCAAATCTGTTTAATATAGTTTATTGAATGCTCTTGTATCTTTATTGACTGAAACTATTATTAACATTTCATTTTTCAAGCATTTGCATACTCTCAGCATCAAAAATAAAGCATTACGTAATCTTTTATTATTGATATCTTGAACATTATTTACAAGAATAACTATATAAAAGAGTAATATTGTGAAGGCTAATCTTAAATATACTTTCTTTGTTAAAATAAAGCTACATAAATACACAATCAATATTAAAATGTTGTTTAATAGTCTGTTAGAACAAAAAATGAAATCAGTAATATTCTATCATTGTACTGTATATTAATTTAATGTATTCGGCTTCATTTTTTTCATGTCAAACTATGATTCATCTTACTTTTTCTCTTTGGAATGAATTTATCATATTTAGCTATAATATTTTCATCCACAGTCTGCAAAATTTAGAATTCTAAATTTTCAGTAAGAAAACTGATTTGTAGCTTTTTTTTTGAAATGGCATGGAAATAATGGATACATAAAGAAAACAAAAACTAAAAAAAATCTCATCTAGGATGTATTATGAATTCTTAATATATATTTATTAGAGAGAAACTGAAAATAAATGAATTTGTTTAGTAAAGTTACATATCATTCTGAATGCTAAAGGGTGGAACAATAAAGTACATGAACTCATGAGATAAACATCAAAAGAAATAAAATGTTTGAAAAGAATAAAGAATACTTTGAGGCTGTACTGAAGGGTTTAAAAGTGCTAAGTGAATTTTTTAAATGAGGTAACTTCATAAAGCAGAAGTAAGTGAAAATTTTAAAATAATTGGTGTGATTAATATTTAAATTCAAAACATTGAAAATTGTTCTTTTTTTTTATTTTTTACTTTCTTCTTAATGTAAGTGATATCCTTTATTATTCTTATTTAATATGTTTTCTTTTAATTTTATATATCTTTTAATATTAGAAATAATCTAGATCAGTGGTTTTCAAAGTTATCAGTCTGAAGACTATTTATGTTTGCCATCCATTTATTACTCTGTAAATATAACTTTAGATGATGATAGTATGTCATAATATTTTGTCAGTTTAGTAATCTAACATGAGATATGTGTGTGTGAAAATGTTCTCTTTTCTCTGATTTAATAACATTGAATTGCATTTTGGGAAATTGACTAGGTTAGTCTGCAGACCACCTGATACATGCTCCATGCTTTGAGAACCACTCTTCTAGATAAATATCACAAGTAAAAAATTATTGTATTAATAGTGTTTTTCTGAATGAATATTTATAATTATGTATACTAAGGATATACAGTATAACATACTATTTGTATCGTCTGTTATAATAGTAATCTAGTTATTAAATTTTGCTATTTTATAACTATCATTTTTATTTAACTTGTACAAAAATATAACTAATCCTAGAAACAGATTCAAAAATCAGAATATTGCATTTACTATATATTTAGAAATTTGTATAATACTTGTCTACTTTTGGAAAAATTTTCTAGTGTTATAATACTTATTGTTCTTGGCCATTTTATCAAGAATAAAATTTCATTTTCTGCTACTGTAATTTAAAATCCTATCAGTGCCTGATTTGACAGTCAATATGCAAAATGATTCGTTAAGGATTTTTTTTCTTCCCTCACTTTATTTACAATTGCTTTTGGAAATTTTTCAACACATTACTTTTCTATTCTAAAAAGTCTATGATATTAAATAATACAGTGCATCCAAATCTGCACTTATTCAAACTCTACTTAGTCCAAAACAATTTTAGTAGTTTTGTTACCAAATATTTTAATCAAAGAAAAAATATTTTTTAAAGTATGACAAATTTGTAAAATTAATATGTACTACATATCTTAATATAAGTATATATATTAAATAATGTAAAAATGTTTAAATGTGTGTTTGTTCAGATGCATATCTTGTGGGTAATGACATTAAAATCAGCTGGGGGATGGGGTTCTTCCTAGAAGATTTTCATTACAAACAAGCTCACTATAAGTATGTTATAGTTCTTGAATTCATTTTCCTTAAAGTTTGATAAAGCAAATTAAAAAATTGCTCTCCAAGATTTGCTGTTGGATTTATCTCAGTACATGTCTGTAATCCTTCTTTACTTCCATTTTCTTAAAATTTTGCTAATTCAAACCCATGTAATAGTTAGTTTGATTTAGCAGGAGTACGCTGTAATTGGAAGTTTAATTGTATTCATAACATGAAATTTACAGATATGTGGTATCATGATGAAATATCTATATACAAAATGTTTAGTCTAATGAATAAATCTTTGCTTAAAAGCAGTTTTATAGGAGATTTGTCTGCTGATTTTGTCTTCCCACTCACTCAGCTTGTTGCAGTTTAAAAGACAAGGAAATTATCAAACTGTTCCAAAATTAAAACTGAAACAAGAGTGATGTGTACAATATCCGTATTGATAATTGTAATACAGTGGAACTTAGTTTTCAACTGAGAACTCAAAAGTTGCATTTACTTGAAGTTGTTTTCTTTCCCTAATTGTCCCCAAATGTGTTAAATCAAACTGGTTAACTCAAATTTCTCAAAACTTTTTAACTTGAAGTCCGAATTTTTTTCTCCGACCAGTTTGAGTTAACCGGGTTCCACTGTATACACAAATTGCCCAAGCAGTGTGAAAAGTAAATGAGACTGCATTAAGTTGATTTTGTGCCTGATTCTAATTTGCATTCCTATTTTTGAGACCACCAAAGTCCAAAAAAAGATGCACATTAGAATCCAGAAAAACAGTAATTAGATTATTTTTTCACAACTGGATTTTATAATAAAAAAAATTACAGGTGAATATTATTATTTGTTAATTAAATTAATAATAAAAGTTCTCTTATTTTTCCTGAAAAATATTCTCATTGTTGTCTCATTGTTGAAAAAGCAAAAATTTAGTATTTTGTTTAAATAAGATATTTCTGTTTTGATTTGTCTTGTAAAAGACCATGCAAGTTTGTAACAATTGTATTGATATTTAACATTAATGAAAAATCATTTGCTAGAGATTAGTTTATTCATAAATTAGAATTCTTGTATTAAGTTAATGAAATTATTAAAAAAAACTAGATTTTGATTTTAAAATAATTTTTGCATGTATGAAATTTCTTTCATTTGATAAGTCACTTTGTTAAAAAAAAAAATTACTTTAAACTTAATTTTTAACTTTATAAATTGAAAATATGGATATATTTAAATATATTCATATACATTAAAAAATATTAAATAATCTATAAAACTGGATAATTATTTAATTGACAATATTTATAAATTACATGTATTTTCTTTTTATTAAGGTTACTAATGGAGTCCCAATGACAACTGCAAATCAAAATAAAGTACCTTCTCGACAAACATCTGTAACAAAAATATCTGGAATAGTATCTGTCAATTTGTCAAAAGTTAATACGATACCTCCTAGTTTACCAGCTAATGCTGCCCCTCCATTTGCTTCTCAACCACGGACGGCCATTAATAGTACCAATATTCGTCCCAGCATTTCGGTTGGTACGCCTTTTCCGACCAATTCTCAAAATGTCTGGACGGGAGTCGTTCTGACTGGAAAAGCTCCATTGACGGTTGCTCCTCGGTCGTCTGCTCTTGGAGGAAATAATACAATAACACTGTTATCCACAAGTAATATAAACAATTCTAATGTAAATGAAAAGACACTTGTAAGTCGTCAGCTATTTCCTTCAGAGAAAAAAGTTACCAATGTTCAAACTGGAACTACCACCACGACTAAAACCACCGTGTCTTACACCATGGCTGTTATTGCCCAAGGCAGAACTACAAAAACTGTTCCAGCTAGTGCAGTCACGGTGACTACTAAGATAACTCTTGCATCAGATGTAAAAATAAGTTCTAGTAATGGAAATTTTCAATCAGATTGGTCAGGTGGTACTTCATCTTCTGCTACTACAACTAGCACTGTTGTTTCATCTGGTCAAGGAACAATTCCAACTCCATCTCCTTTTCCTAATAATACTTCAAATAATAGATTAGTTAATGGTCCTACTGGAAATCAGACAATGCAAGAAGCTGGTGGTAATGAGGTATTGGGAATTAATCAGAAGCAGCCTTTTATTCCAAGTAGTACAACACATCAGAATCCTCCATCTTTGTCGCCAACTAGCAATACAAATAATTCAGATCTTCTTCAATCTACTATTGCCCAAGAATATTCTCCTTTCAATAATTTGTTTAGTAAAGTAGCTCAGCCAAGTGTATGGGGACAGAAAGATAGAGAAATGGCTAAACCAAATTTTGCTAGTGTTGCTGCAGCAGGTGTCACGTCAGTCTCTTCCCATGTACAGAATTCGCATCCCATTCAAAGTTCTCTCTCTCTTTCACTATCTAATAGCACTATAGTTGATGCAGCAAAGGCACCAGGCTATAGAGGTAATTTGCATATTTCACCAAATGCTTCCTGTAATCCCACTGCATCTACATTAGCACATACAATATCTCATAATTCTGGTTTTGGTGCCATTGGTACTGGTCCACGTAGTGCTCCTTGTACTCCTCCTCTTGGACCAATTGGCCCACCGTCTTCGACAGGCTCCAGTAATACTAGACGTTCTACTCCACCATCAGTACCGAGTCCTCCACCTTTACACTCCAGATCCTTACCAGATTCTCATGGTTTCCCTGTAACTGAGGTACCACGAATTGTATCAAGTTCGGGACAGGTGACGTCATCTCATTCAGTATCTCATAGTTTGTCAGTTTCTCAGATGTCAGAGGGTCTCTTCCAACATCATCCTCACCACCATCATCATGCTATGCAAAATATATCAGGCTTGACAGGAGCTGTTCGTCTTCCCACTTTTCCATTGCCTTCTGGAAATGGGGGCAGTGGATTTTCTGGTCCTGGAGGTTCTCATACAAATACTACTTTTAGTCAGCATAGTCCTCTGTCATCAGTAGGACCTATCATTCAGGACACAAGTTCTAATAATGGAAACATTTCAAATAACAATTCAAATTTGCAGGTGCTTCAAAGCACTCTTAATCCAAACGCTCCAGACTTCTCTAGTCGTGCCTCGCTTCTTATGGCTCATCATGGTCCATCCATGCATCCTATACCACATCGTCTGCCTTCAGGTCCAAATACCTTTCAAGATGGCCCGGCTCCATCTCTTGCCCAATTCCGCCCCATTCTGCCATCAGCAGCCAATATGAATCACACATTCCCTTCTCTTCACGGTATGCCCACCGCTCATCCTCCAGGAATGGGACGATTTCCTTTCCATCCCAGTCATAATCAACAGCAACAGCCCCAGCAGCAACCTAGTGATTTTAACAACCAGCCACAGTCTGGTCCAGTAGGTTCTTTACCTCCAGGAATGGGAGGACCTGGTCTTCAAGCAAATGAAGGTATGCCACTCTTAGGGATGATGGGAGGCTATCCACCTCATCCTGCCCAAGGATTATCTCATGTTGGTCCAGGTGGCAGTAATCTTCCACATCATTATCCTGCTATACCTTCCATGATGGGAATAAGGCCAAATCAACGATCATCTAGCACAACGCCATCAGTGGGAGCTTCATCAAAAGGTGCCTGTTTACTTTAATTGTATATTTATAAACTTTTTGAAATAAATGATTTTGGTTTCAAAAACTGAACGCCGCCCTAATCAAAAATATATTTTGCCAGTAGACGAGGGATCTCCGATGTCTACAATGTCTCCCACTGCTTCTCCTCAGGGTAGCAATTTATCTTCACCCACAGGCATGAATATGACTAGTGGAGAAGACAGAAAATTACCTAGGCCTATTGGAATGGAAAGAGCACAAAGAAAACATCCTGTTTACAGCGGTGTATCTGACATTAGTGCTATATGGTCATATAATTCTACGGGTATGTATTAATTACATATAAAATGAATGATTTATAAAAACATTACAAATAAAATTTTTTTTATGAAAATATTAGATATGGGCTGTGCGGGTGAATGGATGACAAATTTGTCAAACAGCATGGTTCACTCTTCGCCTCTTCCACCACAGGAAGACCTTATGCCACCTCTACTTCCAAATAATTATGGAAATAATCGATTTGGTGATAATATTTTAGTTTCTGATTCTAATCATCCACTGGATCATTCTTTCCAGGTAAAATATTTGAATTTAAAATATTTTTTGAAAAAAATACAATGTGTGTATATGTGACGACAATCTATAATTTTATTACAGCTCGCATCTGCAGCGGCCTCGGGTAGTGGATATCCACATTTTGTCAACGGCCTACCACCACATGTGTTGACTCCTCATCTCTACCAAAATAATAGTAATAACGGGCCCGCTTCTCTGCGGCCTACGGGACTAGAGAGCAATGTCGAAATGTGGGGAGGTCCCAATAAAATGCCCCTTTCCTCTGTCGGAGACGGTCTCCCCTCTGCACCAGAACATAAGATGGTTAGTAGCATGACGATGCATTATACTTCTTAGCTATTTTTCTTTAATAACATATGTTTGTAAATCTTATATAGTACTGGCTATAAAAAAAAAAAAGAATAATGTGTAATTTTTGACTTGTCACTTCACAAATTATTAGTGTGGATGTAAATGTACTTGTACAATTACACCAATTTATTCATTCAAATAAAACTTGATGATGCTTTATGTGGTGGACGTTTGCATTTCTTTGTACAGCACAATTAAACTTAGAATTCTTTTGCGTCCGCACTTCAATCCCGCACTAATTCGGATATAGTAATTTTGGTAGTATGTTAATCCATTTTATATAGAATAAACATTCGCCTCTTCTCTCTCTAGGCCTGGAATAATTGGAGTCAGCATCAAGCATGATGATCAGCCTTTCCTATTCCCCTCACTTATCGACCACGGTCTATAGAAGAACAGGACACGACTTTTAAAATGGGATATCGCATCGGCTTTGGCACCAGACCAAAAAAAGACTTTATTAACATTTAATCGTAAGAGACAATTTGGGGTTTGGTGGGAGAGAGACTTTAATGCACGAAACCACCTTCGAAGGAATTAGCTGTCGACGAACAGTTTAAGGTCGATCGAATTCGGGTTATTATCACAAATTGCAGTGTAATTGAGGACTTCATGTATCAGTAAAAGTTTCTGTGAGCATTTGTGTTTTCATTTTTAGATTAAAAAAAACAATTATTTTATAAAAGAAAAAAAAAAGTATAACATGCACATTTTTGCAGATATGATTTCTTTACACAGCATTTTTAAAACTTGTATATTAGTTTCTTTGCAATTCTCTGACAGATTTAAAATTAAAATATCAGTTTGATATTTTTTTTACTAGTAATATATATAACTAGAAAACTGCTTTGTGGCTGCACATTTTCATAACACTTACATAACTCTAACTCCACATCAAACTATATATTGAAGTAAAGTGGGAACTAAAAATTTGACAAAAATAAAAAGTTTCTCTTCCTATATTTTCATCAAATATTTAATTTTAAAAAACAACTGACAAATTACATATTAAAGATTTAAAATAATAATTTCATTTTAATGAGGAAATCCCAACATATAAATTATCCATAACTTCAAACAAGTAACTGTAAAAAAACTTTTTTTTTTTTAGTTTTGCATCTATTAAATGTTTTTTATTATTATAAAGAACACGAATATAACAAAAAAATAATAATTTTTAAATGTTTTCGTGGTTCTTAATTAATCGTTCGGTTTTAAAAAAGGATAAAACAGACGGTAAAGCATTTAACACATTTAATCATCATCATAACTTCATACATATAAACACGAAACAGGTCGGGTCGACTGGAGGAATATTCCAAATGAGACTGCGCACAACGCGTCCATCAGAAATCAATGGGGGAGGGGAAAAAAAAGTTCTAAGTTTTCGAGCAAAACGCAGAAAAAAGAGTAAATCACATTCCGTGAGAAAGTACCACCATTCCATATCAAAGTGGCCGCCTTTAAAAAAGGGGGGAAGAGAGGGAAAAAAGCCTGTCTTTGCCTTTCGGTCGAGCAAAGGAGGCCACATTCGGGAAGGCAAATGCACAAGCGAATGATTAAAAAGTGGATGGACTACTTTCCGAGGTGAAAGGTCGTCGAGCGGGAGGAACATGGCCACAAGCGGTAGGGAAATCGTGTACGGTCTTATCCCTTCTATTATCATATATACCTCCCACCGCCAACGTACAATCATTTTACCCAATTTATGGAGCCTCGTGTAAGTGGAAAAACTACAGGTCTCGCAGTTGATGTCTCATTGATAAGACAATACCGTACATTACCGGCTGACCCCAAATTACGTTCGCTCGCCGTGGGAATTGTAAAGAAATTCCAGTCGTCTGTACCCCGCAGCCAATGTGGGCGTGGTCGCGCCATCGCACCGACCTTTACCGATTCCTTAATTCGCAATATAATAAAAATAAGTAAATAAAAATCGCGTCGCTTCGAATCGTTGTCGCCGCCTTCTCCGCGCGCCATATCTTACGATTTGATATTCCCCCGGCGGTTACCGAACCCGTTTCCTACACCTTCTCCTACGCCACCGGCGGAAGGGTCGCGGGTTCGATCCTTGGCTCTCGGTTTTTGTTTATTCACCTCGACCAAACGCGATAAAACGCGCGAATAGCCGGACGGGCAACATCCCCGACGTTATTGGGAATGAGAGATAGCAGCTAAGCATCCTTTCATTGGAAGGTAAGGTAGAAACGGGTGTGACCTAACCCTGACCACAGACCACCTACAAGTGGAAACGGAGTCAGTATGTGAGAACGGCCCGGGGATATGCAGGCCGTCAGACACTGCTTTTATCCCCAGTACTGTCACTTACATCATGGTCAAGGTAAGCATCGCGCGCGCACGTTTTTTCTTTTGCTCCTCGTCATTTATGCAAATTATTATATTACTTATTTCACAATTATTTCTCGCGTCGCGATCCGAATAAACAAAAAAACAATTCCCTATTTTCCCCATTGCGTTACGTCAGTAATTGGTTGTAATGGAGGAGGGAATTAACTTTTCGAATAAATAAATTTTAAGCGTCGTCGAACGAGTCGCGTTTAAATTAACGAAATCCGATTAATTTCGGGAGAATTTAACTAGGAATAAAGGATTTGCGGGCGGCTTTAACTCTTAACGTAAAGATGGCGGGTGCACCTGATCTTATCTGGCTGCAGAAGGTGAGAAAGTTGTGTACACCCTTTGGATATATCGGAATCTCTCAAACTGATGTACTGTACATTATGTAAATTACCAATAAAAAATTTAAATGGCGGCTCTCGGGATGAAAAATGAGCAATTAAGTCAGACTTTATCTTAAATTCGTTTTTTGCACGCCACAGTTAAGCCAGAGTTCCGAGTGTCGTTAAAAAATACTTGAAGTATTTTTTCGGCGTAAAAAAAAAGAAAAGAAGAAAAAAAAATGGATGTGATCTGTGAATGGAGCGAGAGAAACAGGTGAACCCGAGTAATCTTTTAGAAAACCGGTCTGTCACGTGAATAAAGAGATGCTCTGGGATCAGAAGGGGGAATCTACGCGCAAAGTATTTTAATTTTCGCTTAAAGATCGAATCGGAGATTACGAAAAATATTTGCGGCCCGAAGTATTTTTTGTAATTTTTCTACCGCCAGGGCGTGAGAAAATATTTACAGGCTATTCTCGTTTGTTACGGTAAGATGGCGCCACTATTGTTTGTTAGTATAAAAATTTTTTTACCGTACGCTAGGAGGCGCTATCTTTCGGTAATTCCTTCGGCCGCTTTATATAATTCATAATTAAAAATTATTTTTTAATTTTATATATATGTATATATATATATATATATCCGATCAGATATCGTTAGCCCTGTCTTTTCTGACACTCGAACTCGTGGTATATGGAGAGATATACAGAGGATATCCTTGTCATCGGAAATTTAATCAGCTACACTGCCCCTCTCCCGGAAACAATTACCCCAAGTGAGTATATTTCGATTTATCACGTGTTTTAACGTGCGGTAATTGTAACGCGTACGATACAATTCGAACGCGAAATGACGTGATTTTTCGCATCCGACGCGAATAATTTCGGTTTTACAATTGAAAAACCTGTATTAAAATTGAAATTTTACGACACCGCGCGGAATAATTTACGAACGTTTCGCAGAAGTTTGAAAAATGACGGAAGGTTAATAGAAAAAAAAAAAGCAAGCTGCGCCCGTACGCAGCTCCTAAGATGCAATTCGAAAGGTGATTTATGAATGTTCTTTCGGTAAAGGTCAGCCACTCTGACCACTTACAGTCGTCGACCTCTCACGTCATAATACCTCTCTTTGTATAGAAACGAGCTTTACTCTCTCCGACTTGCATAAATAATCTCGCGTAGTCGATCAAAAATTCCGTTTTATCAAAATTTCGGCACGGCTCGTCTAGTTTTTTTTTCTTCTTCTTATGATTATTATTATTATTATTATCGGCAGAAGAGACTTTATTTAAGACTCTTTGTCTTGTTTCTCTCCTACTTTAGTCGAACGAAAGATGGAGGAGAGACGAGACAAAGAGAAATGAGTCTGGACAGGTGAGATTATCGATTTAAATTTAAAAAAAGGGGGCAATTAATCGAGTGCAATTGTTTACCGAGGTGTCGTTTCCGACAGAGAGAAGATCGAGGTGTTCATCGATGAGAACAAAGCGTTAGTGAAGAGAATGTTTGGTGATTATATGTTCGAAGGAGACGAGAAAGATACTCCACCCGTTCCTCTGGATCAGTACGAAGTTCACAAGAGAGGAAAGAGAGCCCGTCCTTCTTATTCGTCGTCCTCTAACAAGTTATATGTGATATTTTTGTCTTTTTTCAATATATTACATAGTATTACGTAGTTCTTTAACTAGAAACAATAATAGAAATCATTTCAGAGGCGTAGCCAGGGAGAGAGTCCGTGGAGTAACGGATCCTCCAAAATTGTTTGTTTGTTACATGGTACTACTAGGCCATAGCGTGCAGACTATTTGTAGTATAATAGAATGATTATTGGTTATTTGAAATGACAAGTAATTCGTATTGCTATATTGTCTACGTACCAAAACGTTATTTTTCTTCTTTTTATTTTACTTTTCGTGTTACTGATGACAGAATAAAATTTCATAAAGATAACGAATTTCTCTGAAAAAAGAAATTTTTGTATCCTTTGCACGGTACAGTACATTATTGATGGTCCCTCCGGAGAAAAACCTGGCTACGCGCCTGATCACTCATATTTTATTGATACTTTATCAAAGAGAATCGAATTCAGTATGAATGATTTGAATTTAGCAAGTACAGTATGGTATTGTTTTACGCAAAGGCGAATGATTGTTTCTGAATAGAAATTGTTCATTATTGGTGTAGAATATTTGATACGGTGTGATAAAATTATATACCAGAGATATATACGTGCAAAGTAGAGTTTTGGCCACAGCAAGTAGCATCCAGTAGTTCTCTGCGCTCTAAATTTCCAATTCGATGACACTAAGGGTGGGTTAACTTAAAATGGTTACATTAACATCGTTTTAGATACATTTATTTCCATAGACACTTATGCAGCCATTTACAACCATCAATCAGCTGGAGGAGGAGGAGGTGGATACTCGGGGCGAGGAAAATTTATGCGGTAACAGCTGATACGTAGCCCCTGCGTAAAATAAGACTATAGTGTATCTACTATCATTTTTGTGTCTATATTGTTACTATGTAAATTACCGTCGGCCATTTTTTTTATGAACTACACTATCCTTGTGTATGAAAAGGATAGTGTAGTTCATTAAAAATGGCCGATGGTATGAAAAAGAGCCTTGTATAAGATCCAAAGCAAACATGGACGACCTCCTCTCTCCGCGACTTTTGATAGCATGCAGGCAACAGAAAAACTTGATGTAAATTACTTATAAGAACCTTATGTCCATGTGTCCAATGAACAAAGTCGTGAGGTTATAAGTAAGCAATCCGAAAATACGTAGAATTCGTTTCATTTACAATAGGCAGCTCGTATACACTGCCCAATATAATCGTGTTCCTCGCACTTGATCTGTACAGGTACATAATTATTAGCATAATTTAAAATATAGAACTTTGAAACTTCAGAAGTACAGTACTGTACATCTGTTTCTCTACAGTTAGTGTTATTTTTCGTCGCATGTTTTAGTAGTTCGTGCGCGGAGAAGTTATTTTAAATGATTTACTATATATTGTAAATTATATATAATACATTACCTAAAGTTTAGTAAAATCTCTGTATAAAGCTGGCCGTAAAAAATTACTGTACTGTATATTCACGTGGTCGAAGAAATCGCCCCCCCTCCGCTAACTCGGAATTTCGTAAACTCGCATCATTACCCGTAACATACATATACAGTCGACCCCCTATAACACTGTTGATTATTCCGTTTTATATGAATTCCGTGTTGTACGAGTCACTTAGATTTTACAAATACGTGAGCCGTTTACAGCCCGGCACACGTATTTGTAAAATCTAAGTGACTCGTACAACATGGAATTCATATAAAACGGANTCGTTTTTGAGTTTTAGTGGCATGCACATTGCACACTTACCTTTATAATATATATTGATTATTAACTCTTTATACTATTCTAACACAACAGATTTCCAAGTTTTGTTTAAAATTTATGGAATCAAATACAAAGTAGTACAAGAATAATGTTTTAAACTAAGTATTAAAAAAAATTATGTAAACTTAACACCTTTTTTAAAAAATTGTATTTTTATTTTTGGTTATATTTTATTTCAATATAAAATGTCACCTTTCGGGATCAAATTTCTCCGGATCTTTCCAGTAATTAGAGTCTTTTTGAAGGATAGGCACAGGAACAAGTACAACGGCTCCTTTTGGAATGGTCACATCTTTATATCGAAAATCTTCCTTACATATTCTATTTATCGCACTGAAAAAGCAAAAATTAAATTCAAGAACATAATTTATATAACCATAATAACATAAATAAAAATAATAATAAAAATGCAACTTACACTATTGGCAATGGTGTTAAACGAAGTGTTTCCGATAAGACTTGATCCAAGTATTTTAATTTGACTAAATCTGTATATTGGATAGCTTCCTATTAAAGTTTTATTAAATATAATAAGTAACCCAAAAGTAATTAACAAATAAACAATATTTAATTTATATTTATTCAGAAAAATAACTAAAAAATGTTATAATTACGTGATTTTTAATGTTATCATTTATTTCTTGTAAAGCTTTATCTTGGGCTTCGGGATGATGAGCAAGATAATATGTACTCCATCCTAATGTATTGCTAGTATTATCATAACTAGAAAATTCAAATTTAAAGAAAACAAAAAACATTATATATTTAATAAATAATGTTTTTGAATTTAAATAAAATATAAAAATCACCTGGCTACTATAAAAATGGTGGCATTAGCACTAACTTCGTCGACACTAAGTTTTTTCGCTTCATATTCCGAATCGCCTTCGGCATCTATCATAGTCTGTAGCAGATCTGGTGGATGATACTAAATAAATATTACATAACGTGTTTTCTTAAATTTGGTCAAATTTAAATTAAGTTTTTAATAAATATATATACAATACCTCGGATTTTTTTCGAGAGTTGATTATTTGTTTACATGTATCGAAAACAACACTCACAGCTGGAAGGTTTAACATGTTTTTAATGGCGTCTTTAAACTGTCTTAAATACATTGGAATTGGTTCAAATTCCGGGAAACAAACTATCAGATTAGAGTTAATTAAGTAAATATGATTAAAAGTAATTTTATAGAATTGTANTTTTTAAATTTTGACGTCATCGTTACGTACGTCTCACACGTGACCACCTATCGGAAAGATTTCTTATTCCGAGGGGGAAAAAAAGAAATCAATTTCGAACGGACGAACAAAGACACTAAAAATAGTTCAACGAACTGATAAAACCGGTTACGTCGGCAGAATTTTAGCGAATAAAAAAAAAACGCTAAAGAGCGGCGTAAACAAGCGAACGACCGGCTCTGCGGTACGTTTATCGTATGACGTAACTTTTCCCAGCCACGTCAGAGGGTCAGACGATCGACTGCAATCTTCCGAGTCGGAAGCGAAGTTCGATTGTTCCATTGATATGACCCTGTGGAAACACGTATTGTCGTGGAACAAATCGAACCGTATACAGGACGTAATCCGATTCGTAATATCAAACGCTTACTTCGATTTAACGATTTTTGGCTTTACACCGTTCAGCACCTCCGCAATCACTCGTCGAAAGTGCCAGGGAGGGGGTGTGAAGCCTCCTCTATCGACTCCTTTAGTTACGAGTTGTGTTCGTACCTCGTAGCTTGGTTTCTATGTAGGAGGCGCTAAATCTCACTCCCCCTATTGGAATTTCCTTAAAGTATCGGGTAGAAAATTGGTTTGTCGCCGCCGTCGTCGTCGATCTTTTCGCAGGTAATTTGCCTTACTTTAAACGAATATTAATAATAAAATTACGATTTGTATTATATACAACATATAGGCCCGTAAAATAACGTTATTTTAAAACATTTAGACAAATGACGCAGTTAGAAAATTGAATTTTTCTAACTGCGTCATTAGCAAAATTTACTGCAGGCGGAAGGAAATACGTCATTGTCTACTAAAACTGCACATGCGCGGTAGTTGACGAGATGAGATTTGTGCCCCGGGAACACTAACGACGTTACTTTGAATACAAAGCATAAGAATAGTTTTATGTCGTAACAAATAATTGTAAGCAAATAAAAGGATGTAACATTTTGAAGTCTCTTTTGTAATCATTTTGTGGCGGATGAAAAATTAGTTTGAGTAGGCCTGAGGGCCAAAAGAGAGACAGAGAGAAGGATTTAATTAATGTTGTTAAAGTGACATTAATTAAGTTGCGTTATTGTATTGAAGAAAGTGCGAGACGGGCACGCCTTACTAAATCTGAGCCTAAGGGGGGGACCGGGTGGTAGTTAATCCGCCGATTTAAAGCGTGGTATATCTTCGTTAACTTAATGGAAAATCTTTATGTAAGAAAACTTCTTTTAAATTGCAACTTACAACAGAAGGAAACATTGTAACTCTACGCCACACGCCTGACAAACGAGTTTCTCTTATTCGAGGTGTTTTTGAAAAGTCGCCCCTGCTAATGTATACTGTTGTAGCCTACTACTTGTGGATTCTAATTATTTAACTGCATAGAAAATAAATATACTGATTTCTAACTAAATAGTCTTGTATGTTAATAAAGAACTATATTAAATATATTAAATAAAAATGTGTCGAGAGTTCTGGCAATCCATCTTCGAAGCGAGAGATAAATAACGGCGGCACTTCCTGTTTACTAGACCTGTGATTCTGGTGAGCTACAAATGTATTTCTGCATACAGTCGACCCCCTATAACACTGTTGATTATTCCATTTTATATGAATTCCATGTTGTACGAGTCACTTAGATTTTACAAATACGTGAGCCGTTTACAGCCCGGCACACGTATTTGTAAAATCTAAGTGACTCGTACAACATGGAATTCATATAAAATGGAATAATCAACAGTGTTATAGGGGGTCGACTGTATGCAGAAATACATTTGTAGCTCACCAGAATCACAGGTCTAGTAAACAGGAAGTGCCGCCGTTATTTATCTCTCGCTTCGAAGATGGATTGCCAGAACTCTCGACACATTTTTATTTAATATATTTAATATAGTTCTTTATTAACATACAAGACTATTTAGTTAGAAATCAGTATATTTATTTTCTATGCAGTTAAATAATTAGAATCCACAAGTAGTAGGCTACAACAGTATACATTAGCAGGGGCGACTTTTCAAAAACACCTCGAATAAGAGAAACTCGTTTGTCAGGCGTGTGGCGTAGAGTTACAATGTTTCCTTCTGTTGTAAGTTGCAATTTAAAAGAAGTTTTCTTACATAAAGATTTTCCATTAAGTTAACGAAGATATACCACGCTTTAAATCGGCGGATTAACTACCACCCGGTCCCCCCCTTAGGCTCAGATTTAGTAAGGCGTGCCCGTCTCGCACTTTCTTCAATACAATAACGCAACTTAATTAATGTCACTTTAACAACATTAATTAAATCCTTCTCTCTCTCTCTCTTTTGGCCCTCAGGCCTACTCAAACTAATTTTTCATCCGCCACAAAATGATTACAAAAGAGACTTCAAAATGTTACATCCTTTTATTTGCTTACAATTATTTGTTACGACATAAAACTATTCTTATGCTTTGTATTCAAAGTAACGTCGTTAGTGTTCCCGGGGCACAAATCTCATCTCGTCAACTACCGCGCATGTGCAGTTTTAGTAGACAATGACGTATTTCCTTCCGCCTGCAGTAAATTTTGCTAATGACGCAGTTAGAAAAATTCAATTTTCTAACTGCGTCATTTGTCTAAATGTTTTAAAATAACGTTATTTTACGGGCCTATATGTTGTATATAATACAAATCGTAATTTTATTATTAATATTCGTTTAAAGTAAGGCAAATTACCTGCGAAAAGATCGACGACGACGGCGGCGACAAACCAATTTTCTACCCGATACTTTAAGGAAATTCCAATAGGGGGAGTGAGATTTAGCGCCTCCTACATAGAAACCAAGCTACGAGGTACGAACACAACTCGTAACTAAAGGAGTCGATAGAGGAGGCTTCACACCCCCTCCCTGGCACTTTCGACGAGTGATTGCGGAGGTGCTGAACGGTGTAAAGCCAAAAATCGTTAAATCGAAGTAAGCGTTTGATATTACGAATCGGATTACGTCCTGTATACGGTTCGATTTGTTCCAAGACAATACGTGTTTCCACAGGGTCATATCGATGGAACAATCGAACTTCGCTTCCGACTCGGAAGATTGCAGTCGATCGTCTGACCCTCTGACGTGGCTGGGAAAAGTTACGTCATACGATAAACGTACCGCAGAGCCGGTCGTTCCCTTGTTTACGCCGCTCTTTAGCGTTTTTTTTTTTATTCGCTAAAATTCTGCCGACGTAACCGGTTTTATCAGTTCGTTGAACTATTTTTAGTGTCTTTGTTCGTCCGTTCGAAATTGATTTCTTTTTTTCCCCCTCGGAATAAGAAATCTTTCCGATAGGTGGTCACGTGTGAGACGTACGTAACGATGACGTCAAAATTTAAAAATTTTTAGTTATTGTACTATTAATTGTATGTAATAAATAAAATATAGTAATGACGATTAAGCTTTTCGCCATTTTATAATCTGCATTAAAAAAAAATCAAAAATATTTATAATAATAATATTTAATTTTATTAACCATTATTGCTTACACTCTTGCTTCTTTGTAATAAATTATTTGATGAAACAACTATTTAGAAATTACAATATATATATACTTTTTTTTTTTTTTTTAATAATTTCTCTCGTATTTTCTTCATTTAAGAAACAAGATTGTTTGACATTTACAAATTGATAAAAAATAATTGTTTCAAAATCGATTGGAAAATTATAAGGGGGGAATAAAGTTTTGATCTTTACAGTTATTGTTTTACACACAACTGTACAGTCACTTTTACAATTACAGGATAGATGCTTGCGAATCTGCAGTGGAAATAGTCACTCCCTATTGGGCTTCCAACAGTGCGGGGAAAATTCGTGCCATCGTCAATACGCAACATCTCCAGCAGGCCATTCAGCAGGAAGTGTGCCAGTAAGTGACAATTTTTGAATTGATCGAATTTTTCTCTTTAAGAAAATGATATGTCAATCACTTTCTTTCCCCTCTAGATCCGTACAAACTAAGAAATGCAACAACGAATGCAGCTGCGAACAAAAATACAAGTGGCACCGTCTGCTTGCGTACGATCCGGACGACGACTGTAAAGGAATATTTATGGATTGGTTTCTATTCCCTTCGTGCTGTGTCTGTCGATGCACCACACCCATCAAGTAGTAACGACTTTTGTTTGTCCCGTTAACGAGCCCTAGTCAACACGCACTTTTATCACAATTAGTCTTGGCATAAATGTCAAATAAATCTAAACCCACCTCTCCCTGATTGGGCCATTAAAACAAAATGAAATCGGTTATAAAAATTTGAAAAAAAATTTCTTAAAATTCGCATTTGGAAAGAACAAGCAAGATCTAAAGTAAAACAAAACAAGGATTAGCATTTTAAACCAGTTGTGCCTGCACAAATTCATATGTCTCGAAGGTGGCAATGCCTTTATACTCGTGCAAAATTGTCAAACTGTATAGATTCTTATCACATTAAACTATTGGCTAATGCAAGAACGTGTGTTTAATTGTTGTATTTTCTTTAGATCTAAATACAACTCGTATATGTATGTACACGTGTGAGTCGGATGCTGCGATATTTTTTGCTTCTCCCGAGTTGTAACCGCACGGATGCGAAGTCTTCGTTTTGCATAAATATAATCTGTGTCCATCTAAAAAGTAATGGATTTGGAAAATTTCTTCGTAATTATATTTCTGCTTTCTACCAATATATGCCGGCTGTCGATAGTAGTGTGGAAAAGGTTTAATATTAGAAATGTATTCATGTCAGTGTCTTTTTAATCGAATGAGTAGACTTGTTGCTACCCGAGTTTTGGTCTCTGGTGAAAGAACGGTTGAGAACGCTCTTGTCCTCGTCGCTGCCGATGTCTTCGAAACTCATGTTTGAGAATGCGTTGTTACTACTAGCCTTATCTCGTGCTTCTTTCTTCTTTGAGTGCTTAGTTCTTCTACTTGATTTGATTTGAGTGTAGTGTTTTGATGGAAGCACGTTTACGTTTTCATCGTGGGCGATGCTGTCTTCTTCGATATAATCGTGATAGTGAGATTTGTCGCGGGTTGTCAGTTTTTTCCCGTTGGGATCACAACTGAAGGAACTAGATGAATTTTGAGGGATGTTACCGTTGTCGACGGTCGAGGTGTGACAAATTTCCGAAACTCTTACGCTTTTTCCTGCCGCCGGGAAATTGTTTGTACCGACTAATTGAGTTGCCATGTTATTGAATGGTATAGCACCGAATAAATCTTGGCTTCCGTTTACCTGCGATCTGTTTGTTGTAATTGGAGGTACAGTAACTACCGATCTCTGTTTGCTTCCAATTATAATCTGCGAGGGAACTCTAATTTCACTAGAACTATGCTTTTGAACTTTTCCAATATTCTGGTAGCTTATTTTTGGGCTATTTTGGATAGATTTATTTGATCCCGATAAGGAATTTGAAATTTGAGAAAACGGAGCTGAACCAAACAAATCCTTATCTTTCCACTTTGATATCTGCTGCACAGGTGAAGACAGAGGCTTTTCGGTATTGATAGGAGTTACTTGATTATAAGTAAGAGGTAGTCTCGCTTGTTCCATATTTGTTATGTCTGGATTTTCTGGCTTGATTTCTTCTTTTGGATCATCTTTCGATTTCTTCTTTTGTAAACGCAATTTTCTTGTTTCTGATAAAATTTTTGTATTGGGCTTTCTAAAAGGAGCTTGTGCAAACACATCAATTTCATCCGTTTCACTATTAATAAGTGAACTTTTAGATGTAATGGAAGAGGATTTTTTGAAAGGAGCAGCCCCAAACACATCAGAATGTTTCTCTTTATCGGTAGAAACTGGAATTTCTGAAAAGTTTTGTCTTTCTGATAATATTTGTTTTTGTTCTCCATCTGACAATTCATCGTCTTCTAAAAGAGGTTTATCTCCTTCCCAATGGCCAATGAAAACGTCTTGATAAGATCCTTTCGTGGATTCCGAAAGTTTTCTGGTCTTCTCTGTAGCACTGCTGTCGGTAAATGATAAGTTTTCAGCTGTCTTTGGATATTCTTGTTCGTCTTTATCTGACGTGTCGGAACAAATATCTTCTTCTTCACTAGAATCGACTTGAGCTCTAAGATCGCTTGCCGAGCCAATTGAATCACTATCTTCGTGAGTAACAGGAATCATTTTTTGTTCCTCCTCATCAAAATCTAATAATTTTTCATATTTTGATCTATCTTCTATTGGAATCTTAACAAATGAAGCACCAAAGATTTCTTTGCTAGATCGCTTGCTGTGTATGCTTTGACTTCCTTCGCGAGAGGCACTGGAATTTTCACTACTGTGACGCTGCCTTAATTCTCCGTCAACATCACCTTCGGAATATAGTGGAACGTAGCATGATATATCACGGTCGGCAGAAGCAACTAAAAATTTCAATTTGAAAAGACACACTTATAGCTAATATATAAGAAATATTATATAAATATTTATGCTAAATTACTTTACCTGTTCCAGTTAAAGGTGCTGTTGACATCTGTTCAGATTGAAACGTTTTTTCTTTTCCACTTGATTTTGCACCTATATTTAATAATTTTTAAAATTTATTTAAAACCCTTTCATTAATAAAAATTAGTGAACAAAAAATATATTTAAGCTTTAGTTTTAGAGTCTGAATTCAATTGCAAGTTTAATATTCTTACTTGCTGAACTGAAAGGAGCTGCTCCAAATGGGTCTGAGTCAATCAAATCAGAAGCACTCATGACTAGGCTTTCTCTACTCTTTACATTAGAAATACCTAAATTAAAGATATTTTGTAACATTGATAGTTATCTGAAAAAATTTACAAAAATATAATAACCAAATGCTGAAGCAGGAAAATTCTAAAATTTATACAACAATATTTCTCATAGTCTCTTTGTTTATTAGTGTTGCTTGAATGATTTCAAATGATATGCTTATGAATTCTACAACTAATTAACATAATTTGAAACCTTAGTTGCTCCACATTATAAATGGAAAAAGCAACTTTTCCCTTGCTTATTGTTCAGTCCAATTGCCACTTTGCTACATACTTTTCAATGAAACACATCACCATCAATTATTTCATTCTATAACGTTTCTTAATGTCCTACAATATCTTCAAATCACTGTCATTACTTATTCATCAAAACCAGAAAAATTTTCCTTTGACTTCTCCTCTCAGGATCTTGAATTTCCTTTGTTTTTTTTCTTAATCATAATTGTAAAGTATGAAATTAATGTATTGTGTTATTTTGCTAAAAACTGATATCTAGTAGAAACTTTCCAAAACTGAAATCTTTATTTGATTAAAAGTCACTAAATATAAGGATTATTATATAAATTTTAACTTCCATTCAAGTCAGTCTTATGTAATGTGCATTACATAATTTTTTGATAATTTTGTTTTTTAAACTTAAAAATAATCTAAATTCTAAAATTATAAAATTTTAAAAGTTTTGGAAAATTAAAATTTAGAAATTATTAAAAACAAAATTTGTCTGTTTTACAAATACAGTAGAGCATCGATTATCCAAAACAGTTGGACTGGGGTTGTTTGGATAACTGATCATTTATGAAAAAATATATTAAATATATATTAACTGTACTGTATACATTTTTTATCACATATCTTACAAATATATATCTTACATAAAGTAGTACATTAAAGTAGGCCTTGGCAGGAGGAGGAGAGTGCTGCATCACCACAGCACTAGCAGAGAAATGAATTTGCCAACTGGAACACTTTTGGTTAACTGATGCTCTACTGTAGATAAATTTGTGTATACAAATATTCTTTAGTAAATCTTTGCTAGAAAAGATAATAAAAATGATGAAACAAAATTACTCTTGATGTATTACCTACTTCTGCATTTTGTTTCATTACTTTTTAAGATCTGTAATAGACATTTGTGTTTAGATTATATATATATACACACACACACTACCTAATTTTTTCTTTTTTTTTAATATTAATGTTTGCATTACAGTACATATTTGATATTAAAAAGTTTAGGTCTAATTTCAATCATTATCATAATTTAGATTTTTATAAACTGAAACAATCTTAAATTTATAATTCCATAATGTAGAGAATTATAAATTTAAGCATTTACTTACTACTTTGTGAACCTCTTCTGATTTTATCAAACTCCTGACCAAACAAATGATCTTCTGAGTTTTGACCATCTTCAAATGGATTCCATTGACTGGACTTTAAATCACCAGCCTGAGGTTTAGAAGCAGAACTAGAATGGTTTTGCGAAGTTTCATATGGAGTCAAAAACTGAGTGATTTCTTTAGCAACATTCCTATATATAAATGTACATTATTTATAGTAATCCTTTATAACTTTATTAAAAATAAAGTGTTATAGTAATACTTACTTATTGAAGGCAGAAGTATCACTGGCATTTCTACGATGATGACTATGTTGACTGAGAGTTGGAGAAGGTGGAGGTGTTACAGACATAACTGAATGAACAAGATGGTCTGCATTTTGCAATAATGTTGCAGTACTTTCTTTTTCTGTTTTATTTAATACAGAAATTGTACCATTATTTCCTTGTAAGTTTTGTTTATTATCACTGTAAAATGGATCTTGATAATTGGTTGGAGGAAAAAGATCCACATGTCCAATCTGAGTGCTAGCAGATTGTGATGGTGTAGTTGTGGAAGAACCTGGAGCAGAAGTAGATGAGGTAAGAGTAACAGTACTGTCTCCACCAGGACTGGTTAGTACATTTGTAGATGGAGGTGTTATACCAGCAGGAGATTGTACAGCAGATTTTGAATGATGAGGTGTTAGTAATTGCGATGTGACATTAGACATACGAGATGTTATAGAAGTATTGGATCCACCGTCTGTAAATAAAGAAAAATGAATTCATTTTTCTTTCTAAAAATATTTTTTTTTTATATCAGAATATTTATTGAAAATATAAACTTTTTGATGTAGAAATATTTCTATATGATTTTTATATATTTTCATTACATATATGAAAATCATCTCTTTTAAATATGTTCTTCATTTGAGAATTTTTTTATACAGCATATTTATGCTTAAAAAATTCAAGATCTATAATTCTATGATATGCATATTTATGCAACTCGAACACCAAGTATATAGTGTATTCACTCGGACACAAGGCAAATCTCATCATTATTTTTATTTAGTTGATATGTGTACTTAATGTTTGTACATGTTTCAGGCTATTCATGCCCCTCTTCAGTCAACTTCAAATCACAGATCTTTGTAAACCAAGTGAATACACTATATAGTTGGTGTTAGAGTTGAAAAACAATTACCAGCATGGTTTCATAAGTACTAAAATGCATATTTATGTTACTCCACAGATTTGATGATGATAAAATTAAAATAAATTTGATTTCATAATTTAATAATTATCTGGAAATTGAAATGCAAGTAGAATCAGTTTTTATATTTCAAAATTTGGATTATATATATCAAAACTTGAATTCAAAATATAAACTATTCTTTTATAAGAATAGTTTATATTTATACAGGGAGATAGGACTACAAGAAATATCAATACTTAAATCGATTTTAGTTTATTATCTAATTATTTTAGATTATTTTTTGTATTACATTAAACTCCCAATAATTTGAACTTTGCATAACTCACTAGACAAATTTTTGAAAAATTATATAATTTAAATTTTCTTGACAATATTGAACAATTATATCAAAATTATAAATGAGTTTTTCAATATTTGGGAGTGTTTGTGACACCATACATTATATTACTGTATTCAGTAATTTACGAAAGACTACACTGCTGTATACTGCACTATCATGAAATTTTATAAGCTCATTTCCCGTAATAACAATTTCAGCATTATAACCTACTAAAGCTTAGGAAAACTGATTGTAGTAAATTACTGTAGTGTATCCATTTTATCATTTTCCAGGTCATTGGTGAAAATACCCTTAAAACTTTTAATTAAAAGTTACTACTATTTTCTAGTTACAATCAGGTTAAAAATAATTTAAATAATTTTTAAAAATTTTCTAACATCTAAATGTTACTTTGTGATTGAAATGTATAAAATATTTTCAAAAACAAAAGATTTACTATAATAAGCTAATTATTGCATAAAAAATTAAGTGTGAACATAAAGACGACCAAAAGTGTTATTTAATATTGTTCTCACCATCCCTTCTAGAAGAAATTGAGATCTTTAGATTATTGCAAAGATTTTAAAAAATGTAAGAAGCTTTTTTTAAGAGTATTAAAAAATTAGAACTAAGTAATAGTTCTAAATGTAATAACTGCATCTATAAATTTCTTTAGTAGTACAAATAAAGACTCAAAATTATTTTTTGATTAAAAACAACTCATTAAATTTTTCTTCTTAAAGTAAGTCAAGTAATTAATTTTAATTAATCTTACAATAAACTTATTTGTTTTTGAAATGTTCCTATTAAAATGTGTGTGAAAAACAGTTTATCTTCATTAACAATTCTAGGAATATTTCATTTAAAAGTCTTTTTAACCCTTATTGGAAAATTATTATTTTAATGTTCAAAAATATTGCATTATACATATAGACTTTTTGAAATGCTTTAGTAATTATATACATATATACTGATTAATGTGTAATAAAAATTTTGTTTTATTCTATACCTCATGCTTTTTGTCTATTAAATTTCTTTATTGATGTAGCAATAATATCTCAAAAACTATATTACTAATATACAGAAATTTTTCTAAAACAGTCATTATTTGAATATTTTACAAGATGCATCTGAAAAGAATTGTCTTTTCCCTGCATTTAGATTTAAAAAAAAAAAATTATTTGTCAATCTTCAAAATATATTTTTTTAAAGTATGCACTTGAATGAACATTGAAAAATCTGTGAATGTTCGAGCAAAATGATTCTACAGGTATATTGTTTAATTCTCTTGGAACACCAATATGAATGCTGAAAATGCTTCTGAAAACAAGGCATTAAATGTTAATATTAATTTAGTGAAAAAAATGCTTACATGACACTAGATTTAGAGAATATATGCATAGTTAATCATTTTCTAGGGTTTAGAAACTGCTTCAGAATTTAACTGCAATTACTTGGCTATTGTTTGTTTTTAGTATTATTATATAAGAATTTTTAATTCAGATTTTTTAAAATTAATCATATTGTATTGACTAAATTTTATCAGCATAAAAAAAATTATTTTATGTGGTAGTTAATCTAGATAAAGAACTCTTTCACAACTGTTACACTCTAGAAAATATAAAACTCTTAAATATTTTTATTTAGTGAAGAAACTGTGTGTGTGTGTGTGTGAATATACAGTAACTATACATTTTTCAGTTTATTAATATTCTTTAAATATAAAAATTAAATATGAAGTTAAAATCTTAAAGGAAAAAAAATCAATCCTCACCCTGGGGTGTAGTTGGAGTAGGTGTTAAGCGTTTACTTGGAGTTAAACTTGCCTGTGATAAAAGAGGTAAACCCCCAACTGTTGGAGGTTGAGAGCCCTTTGGCCGCTGCCGAGGCGCAACTGATGTTCCTTCCACAATTGGTGTTGTAATTAACCTAACAATTTAATTTATAATTTAAGTTTTTGATTTTAGACAATTATTATTATTATTGTAAATCTCACCTCTGTGGTTTTGAAATTGCTTTCTTTGCTTCACTTTCAACATTTGGTACTGGAAGGGATGCAATATCTGGAATGGGTGAATTCTGTAGAATATCAAGAATGTTATAAATAGGTAAAAACTGAATAAGGAAACAGAATTTGAAATAATTATTGAATTATAAAAAATTACATCTATTATAATTTAAATGCTATATATTGTTTATCTATGTCTTCTAACTTGTATTCATATTCAGTTTTTCTTTTTACAGGATCATATGCATAACATGGCAATTTTCTGCTGATTTCTCAAACATAATTACACTGCACATAATTTGTTTCTTGAATTTGGTGTTCTGAAAAATCCTGTAACATGTCTTTTTTGCATGTGCCAAATTTCAACATTATACATTGTTTAGTTTACAGAATACAGAATAATATCCTTGACCAGACTCCCATAGGGAGCCCTTCAAAATTTGTAATAGCATGGACTAATTTCCAGCTGAACTTGTTTCTCATAAATGATGGGAGGGCTGAGGTGTTTCTCAAACAGACCAGAAAATTACTTTTCTGTATTTTTTGCACACAAAATGTAGCCATCAAAAATTGAAATGTTTTTGGTGTTTATCATCCCAGGCTATGGTATGAAGACAAGCATTTGTGGTCATAGCAACTTGCAGACCACATATCATTATGTCATGCATAGTTGACAATCCATGATGTCATGCCTACCTCTTGCAGCAATCATGAGAGTCCTCCTCAACATTTCTGAAGACATCAGTGTGGAAAATTGCCATATTATGCATACAATCACATAAAAATAAGGAAATTTGTATGTGATCACATGCATAAGGCAGTGATTTTCTGAGGGCCTGTGATAAACAAAAAAGTTTTTTGATTGAAATTTTTCACAGGTGGACAGCATGATGAGGATATGGAAGAAAAGCTAAGTAACTTAATTTGGTAAAAATGTCCACAAAAAAGTAGTAGCTATATAAAATCTCCACTACTACATGTGATTGCAGGTTAAAGGACTAGAATATTGAATGTGTGCTGTATAAATTTTCATATTCTTTAAATATTTGAATTCAAAATATAATCATCATCTAAATTGTATAAATGTATCTCTCTATAAAATATTAAATTTGAGTAAATATTTACTTAATAAATTAGGTTAAAAATTTTTTCTATAAAACTACACCTTTAAATTTGGTACAGGACACTCCTTTCCTGCTATTGTAAATGATACAAAAGAAACTTGAAAAATATCTGGTCTTTTGTCTGCATCAGGCTCCAACATATAACCTTTCAAAAAGAAAAAATTTTCAATTATTTTTATCTGTTTAGTTTATATTATTCAAAACCTGTACTTACGAATTAAGGAATGCATATGTTTAGAATATTTAGAATTATCTGGAATGGTAAAGTTACCACTTTGGATAGCCAATGCACTTTCACCAAATGGTAAATTGAAAAAACATAGTTTGTACAACAAACACCCCATGGCCTGTAAAAATTTTTTTAATTAATTGTGTAGCCACAGAAGAAAGTCATTTAAAAAAAACAACTGATAAATAACCTGTATAATTATGCAATGGAACAAACAATATATTATTATTATTAAATTTAATATTTATAAAAGTGAAAAAAATTGATATGATAAAAATATATTATTAAATTTAAAATATTTTTGAAAAATAAATATGATTGGCTAAAGTTCATTCCACTTTGTTACTTAATTATCACATTCTGAACTTGACTAAAGTTTATCATTAAAGTATCAACTTGTAAAAAATGTTCTCAAATGAGATAAATTTCACACTAAAAAGATATAGGAAATCTTTAATGTAAATTATTAACTTGATATTATGAGTGAAAAAAGATTTCAATTTATTTTGAGGCATTAAAAAGTATAGAAAAAAATTAAGTCAAAGTTAGCTCTTGCTAATCTAGCCATTCTTTGCACAGAAGATTGCCGGATTAGTGAGAGATAAGACATTAAATTTAATAAAAAATTAAACTGATGTTACATGTTTACTATCTATAATACATATGTATTTAGAAAAAAAATAAGACACAAGTATTTGTACACAGTAAAAGAAATTTAAAATATTACATCATCTATTCATCATAGTTATACTTAAAAATGCCACAGATTTTTATTTGCTTTAATGAAGATGCTTGTTGATGGCATGCTTTGTCACACATCTCTCTATGAGCATTATATTGACGACTGCATGTATTTGGTTGTTGCACTATGTACTGCAGAAATCTTTGTTCTACCTGCCTCTGTGGTGTCCTCTTCCTCATCTCTTTCAACCTGCACACTTTTGATGATTTCTTCATCTGTTAAACCTGGTCTACACTACACAATATTTCCTCATTCAACCAATTGGTAATGTCCTTCTTCATCAAGTTTTTCCCCTGGAAGCTTGTGGAACTTATCAATGAACACAGTGAGTTTAGCATCCAGAAATGATTCTGAATAGACTATCACTTGATGCAGACTCCAACTCAGTGTCAACTAAAGGTCTATTGTAGAGTACTATTGTAGCACTCTTCACAATATCCCATGTTTCTGCTATTTGGAAAACAATACTCATGCATGCTGATCACTGTCCACACTTTCAGGATAACTTCGGTAGAATCATTTTCACATTCATCCAATAATGAAGTAAGAATTGCATGTCAATAGCAATGCTTAGTTGATTCTAAAATTTCCTGATCCATACATTAGATTAGAGCTGTCTCATTTGGTTGGAGAAAGACAGCTTGTATATCACTTGATTTCAGAGATAAATCAGAGCATTATCAATTAGGAGGTTAGCTTTCATCAGAATTTTTTTCTCCAGTTCTTCCTTCACAGCTGGTATGAATTTGTCTTGTATCCACTGAGTCTATCCATGCTTTCTTTTGAGCACAATAATCTACCAATAGTGTAATCATCTCACCATGCTGAAAATATTGTGACTGTTGGGTGTGATTAGAAAATCTGCAAAAACTCCATTACGCCATCAGTGTGACACATTATTTTTGTTGTTTATATCCATAAGTTTTCTATTTGTTATTCGCAGCAAGGGTTTTTGAAGGAAGCAATTTGAAAAAGAGACCAGCCTCATTACCATTGTACACTGCAGCAGGAGTTAGTTCTTCTTTCTTTATCATGTTATTCAAAATCTTTTTAAACTTTTCTGCATCCTTTTCATTTGCTGGCTGACTTTCTCTAGTGGACTGTCAGCTGCCACACACCATGTCTTTTCTTTCAGTTTGATAGCTATCCCTTGCTTGCTATAAAAGGTTTACTATCACAAAGTTATTTTTTTAAATGTCACAGCTTTTCCTTTGATTATTGAGTCACTGACAGGTAGTCCTTTACTGTATTGCTATATGAACCATTTATAAATGACTGCATCAAGTTTATCATTCTCATACTTTCATATAACTTTTTGTTTTTTCAACTCATTGTCCATTTGGATGGTGTACTGTCAAAGTTGATTCTCTTTCATCTTTCATCATGTTGGACATGTCATTATTTCTTAGTAGTGACAAATTTTTGAGAACAACCTTGCTTTAACTTCTCTGATATGTCCAATTTCAGTGTGAATTGTAGTGTGACATTTTCTTTTTGAAATCATAACTGAAGGTCATCATACAAATTTGACTATTTTCCACAATTCTAAATCAAAACTGTTTTGATAAGTGGTGTCACACTGGATGGCCATCCACAAGATGCACTCCATTTATAACACAGCTGAAGGCCTGATTATCAAAGGCTAGATTAGCAAGAGTATACTGTGTTTATTTTTGTTAAAATTTCTCTGAATTCAAATTCTTTGTGTTCCAATTTTGGAGTTTTTGCAATCTATCATTTGCTTTCCAGCTGTTAGAAATCAAATAACAACTTTATTTAATACCTTAGCAACTTAATTTTCTGAACATATCCAGAGGGAAAAAAGAATAAGTTAAAACTTTTTTATAAAAAGTAATAACAAAATATGTAATCTTTTTCATCTATATACAGTAGAGCATCGATTATCCGAATGTCAATCAACCGAAAGCTTTCAAAGTTGGCAAATTTTAATTTCCACTAGTGCTGTGGCACTGCAATCTTTGGCTATGTCTTGGGCTACTCCAATATTATTTTTGTTGGTGTGCATGTTTTAGCTGGCAGCACTAGTGCAACCATGAGAGGGTACTTAAGGATAAACCAGGATTTGAACGAATTTCAACATGGAATAGGTTAATATATTTTTTCATATATAATCAGTTATCCGAAAAATCGATTTTCTGAACAACCCCAGTCCCCAATTGATTTGGATAATCAATGTCCTACTGTATATAAATTAGAATGTTTGTTTATTTGTTCTCTAAACACTCCTAGGCCATTTGACCAATTGCTATGAAACTCAGCAGTTAAGTTTATATACTCCTAATTTAGATAATGTCATACATCATACCCCAAAATATCTATTGGATTTCTGTAAATCAATTAATTTCTATCTACATTATATTTGCTGATTTACATGTAGGGTCATCTATTGACAAAAAATTTAACAAAATAATAAATTAAATATAATTCGTATGAAAAAAGGATATAATTTTAAAATATATATAATATATTCACTTAATTACTGCAACAATGATATCACACAAAATAGACGTGCTATATAATTACTGCGACAGGTAGCACATAGCACTTGCCTGCTTGCAATTGAAAGTGTTACCCAGTGAAAAATCTAAGTATTTAATTTTCCACATCTAACAACTTGGGTTTTTTCATTTCTGAACAGTACTTTCTTAATTCTAATAAGTGCCTCTGGTAGCCAAGTGCATAAAACCACCAAACTCTGGTAGTTAGTTGTGGGTTCTGGCATGGCCAATGGGCTGGCCATGTGGAGTTTTCCAGGTTTCCTTCATCTAAATAAGGTCCAGCTTCCCATAAAAGTTTTCCTGGAATGCATAACCCTAGCAAATTGCTCACGTATCACATTGCAGTAACCAAATAAACCAAACTAATTCTAACAAGCAATTATTTATTGTGACATCGTCATAATGCCAGTCTTCAATTTTTTGTCAAAAATGTTCTCAATTTTTTAGTCGTGATTTTGCCTCTGTACATCATACTTTTCCTGTTAGCAATCCTTCCTGCCAGTCATCTTTCTAACTTCATTCAGGGAAAAATTTTGAATCAAAGTAACGTGACATCTATTCCAAACCTAAAGTTTCTATATAAATAATCTGAGCCTCCTGCCTCTAAGTTTTCTACATTTGTCTCGCTTTTCATACATCTAACTCCTTTCTTCAGATTGAGGAAGGACAGACAGACACATACAGATGAACAACTGTCGAAATAGACATCCACAACTGCCATAAATAATCGGGCTATAATTTGGAAATAATGATTTGAATTACAAATGAATTTGACATAATATGGTGCCTAATGCTTCCCTCTAGTGTCAAATTCATTTGTAATTCAAAATCATTATTTCCAAATTATAGCCCGATTATTTACGGCAGTTGTGGATGTCTATTTGCTATATTGTAGACCTGTAAATTTCGACTGTTAATATACACACCAACCAAAATCCGATGTATAGCAATACATCAGATTTTGGTTGGTGTGTATATTAACAGTCAAAATTTATAGGTCTACAATTTTTTCAAACTGCAGTCCAATAATTTTTCTATAAATGCAATATTTACAAGAACATACTTTCCACATAATTTATACAATCTGTTGCAAAAATATAAAAACTTTATTATAATATAAAATACTTATTAATACCCAGCTGGATGCTTCTTAACTTATGAAAAAAAAAAAACACCTTATCTCACTGAGAATTATTTATAAACCATAATAAATGTTTCAATCTGTTCTACAGGCCATCTTCAGGTTTTTAAAAATCATGGAATATTTATAACTGTTTTTTTTGTATAGAAACTAAAGAACACATTTAAAATACAAAATTGTTTGGAATATCAAGCTCTTTGAATCCAAGGAATAAATTACAGTAATATATAAACATTGGTTAAAGGTTGAAAATGTTAGTTATGGTTAATAAATAATTCTCAGTGAGATAAAGTGTTTTTTGTGTAGGTATAACATAAAAGCTATTATTCTTACAGTTTTTTAAATAAAAAAAAATCTTGTAAAAGTCTTATGAAGTATTTCAGACATTAAGGTTAGAAACTCGATCACATGCAAAGTCATCACAACCTAACACAGATCACTTTTCAAATATTAAATAGTAGACCAGCATTAATTAGTAATTGTTGACCATTAATCGTTGGTCAACATTTTTTGCTCAAATTACTTCAACCCCCTTCTGCAATGGTCTCTTCTTTCTATCAGACCAGCAATATGGTGACATTGAAATTGGAAGATCTAAAACATGAGATTACCAGCCTGCACAAAATATGAATTTAGTAGTTTGAGGGTACTAAGTTTAAATATTTGGTCCATTTTTTCACAAAATTTGATTCGTTGGCAAATTACAATTTGATATTCAGCTGTGAATGAAACAGTTTGTTAGTGTTAATATTAGAAAAAATATGGTATCTTAAATTTTTTTTTATGTCTACTTTACCAATGAAATTGTGCCATTTTGCACCATGCAAGTATTGTGATAAACTAGGCCGAAGTAACCAAACTCTTTAAATGGTTTTCATTTTAATGTTTGTTATATTTCAGTACTTAATTTATATAACTACAAGGGTTTATCACACCAAGTTACCAATCTAATACACTTTAAAAATTTTCTTCCTCTACTGTACACAATTTAAAGAATTTTTAAAATGTGTTAAGGGTATCACACCAAGTGACCAGTCTATTTAAGATAACGTTTATAGTTATATAAATCAAATACTATAATATAACAACATATAGTAGAAGGGTTAGAAGTACAAAACCTAATAATGTTTGTAGATATTTTTGCCTGAGCAATGCCAGGCTTACCTGCTAGTTTAGTATATTTTGCTTAAGAATTTTCTTTTAGTTAATTAATGTCTATATTTCCTAGTTATATAGTTATTATACATACTTTATTAAAGATAAATTAGCATTTGATGTTAGAGTTTAGCTTTTATATTTTTTAAAGACATTTTAGAAAACTCTGTTTAAAAAACATTCTAGAAAATGTTTAGTTTTCTAGAATGTCTATGCATATTCAAGGATAAAGCTTGAGTGTTTTGAAAACATTAAGTTTTATAGTTAATTAAGAAATGTCTCAAATAAAATATACATATATGTATATTTTATTTAAATATATAAAATAT